AAACAAAAGAAAGTCATTTTCTCTGCCTCCTGTTGTGAGCAGGGAAACCCTCAGGATGCTGAGGATGCCTGAGCTCTGCATGGGGTCCAAGCAATGAGGCAGTGACTAGAAAGAGCAGGGGTTGGGGTTTCTGTCCCCAGGTTAACTTTGCCCAGGGTCAGTCATCCCAGCAGAGCCTGGGGTCAGACCCTGCATTTTGTCAGCACAAGCCTGGGATGGAAGCAGATCTGAAACTGACACAATGCTGTGGTATAAGGAACTGGACACATCTCTGCTGTGGGAAGAGCTGAGCAGTGGAACTCCTTAAGCAGTTTCATACGGGAAAGGGAGTAGGGCTGGGGACCAGAGCTTGCAGAGAGGAGACACTGTCCTCAAGGGAGGCGTGCAGGCATGGGTGCAGATCGTGTTGCAGCTGATTCATCCGAGAGCTGCATTTAGCCCCACTTCCCGGCAGCTCCAGACCCTCCTGCTGCCAGCACACACATGGCATTGACAAGGAGAGGCAGGGAAAGGGAGGTGCCCAGAGGCAGCAAGAAGGGACAAGGGTGGCTGAAGGGTGCTGGGATCTCATGGGTGGGTGACACAGAGCTGGCGGCCAAGGCCAGCTGCAGTGCTGTGTGGTGGGAATCAGGGAAACTGAGGCAGGACGTAGGTGCATCACCCCCTGCTTCCCACAGGACCCCAAAGAGGTGCAGAACATTGCTGGGGAGGGAAGCAGCATCCATCCCGCTGTGCCTTCCCACACTTCCAAGCCCTCCGTCCCCCTGCTCCAGCAGCTCAGGGCCCCCCACCTCCCCTCCTCCAGCCTCTGACTCATCTCAGAGCTAAAAATAAGCCAGGCTGGGACTGGTGGGGCGGAGGCAAAATTCCCAGCGTGTCTCCGCTCCCACCCTCAGCAGCTGCTTGGGCTCTGGACCACCGATGCTCACCCACGCTGTGCCCCAGTTCCCCACTCAGAGGCAACCACTGAGTGAGATGCCGCAGTTTGCTGGACTTTTGGCAATAATGGTGTGTTTTCTAAAGGCAATGGCGAGCAGCAGGGCAGTCAGCCACTTCTCTCCCCCATCCCACTGTGGTCTCAAAGGGATTTTTGCCCCTGGCTTGCCTCTAGTTCCCCCCACCAGCATTACCTCCATCTGCTGGTGTTGCCTGGGGAGACCAGAATGTGCACAGACCCCACACCACACCCCCACACCACACGGCTGCTATCCCAGCCCTGGGGGCAACACTCCCATGGCCTCCCAGAACCCATCCCACCCAAGCACCCCATAGAGTGCAGTCACTATACCTTTCCTTTGGGCGCCATGGGAATCGCAGGGATGAGGACACAGAGGAGCTGCAGGAGGGAGCAGAAAAACAGACGTGAGCCAAAACATCCCCTGGTACCCTGCAACCATCTATCAGAACAGACAGCTGGGTGTTCCCTGTCCCCTCCAGGGCACTGTAGGGTGACCATGGAGGGATCACAGCTGAGCTCCTTTGGCACCTGGCAGCAAGATGGGAGCAGTGCAGATGATGTGAGCCTGCACAGTTTCCTGCTGCTGCAGAAAAGAACCCATGAGGGGAAGAAAGTGCTGAATATGTGGAAATGGGCTGAGCATCCTCTTTGGGGAGCATGCTCTGGCACTGATCCCACCTCCTTGCCATGCCCCATGATGCGCCCATGCTGCTGGGCTGTGACTGTGCATCCCAATGGCCCTGAAGGCACCCTGGCTTCAGGGATGCCTGGGGAATCCCTGCTGCCATATGGGACCAGGCAGCACCTGGGTTTCTGCACACCAAATCAGCACTGCCATCAGCTCAGTACACAGAGCGGAGCTCCGGAAACCTAGATGGGTTTCTGGGGTTTCCAGGGTAACAAGTAGGTTGTTTTCTAACAACCATCACCATTTATAGCTGCAGTCTGTCTCAATGTAAACCTTCCCCACCCCCATGGAGAAAGTCCCCAGGCAATTCTGAGAAAGCTGTTGGAGGGAGAGGAACAGCTGGAAAATGGAGGGCGGCCCTGCAGGAGTCCCTGAGCACCATCTGAGCCTTTGGCCCCAGCGCCGTCCCCATCACGCTCTGCCAGTGCCGGCCTCCCTCTGCTACACATTGCACAGGAGCACAAGGCACAGCTGGGCCCCTCTGGGCTTCCAGCCGGGCAGCAAGCAGGGGGAAAGCACACAAATTCACCCAGCTTCACCCCATGTCCCTGCGAGAGCAGACAGCAGAGGAGGGTGAGGCCCTGCCCGTGCTGCAGGGCACCTTCTGGCACTGAGCATTTCCGCAAGCATCCTTGCCAGGGCAGGAAGTCTTGCAGAAAAGCTGAGCTGCTGCTTTCTCTTTTCAGCTCTGGGAGAGCCCCAGCATTGCAGCAGGGCTGCAGTGCACCAGATGGGTGCCATGGATCCCAGCCCTCGGCCCGTGCATGCTTCCAATGCCTCTCAAGACCCTCTGTGTTGCAGGGGATGTGGGCTTCATCCTCTCTAGCCACAGAGGAAGCCCTGCAGCACAATGCTCCCTCCCTCTCCGCATGCAGCAGCCAGGCTGAGTCCGCCCTGCTCATCACAGCAGTGAGTGCCCTGCCACACCCAGTGCCTGCAGTGTGCCTGCTGTCCTTCATAGCAGAGCTCACCGTGGGGCTGAGACATTTGTGTAGACCCAGAGAGAATGGATCCAACTCTTCCCCAGGTGACTGAAGCTCCATGCAGCCCCCAGCCTAACCTGATGGAGAGCACTGTGCCCCTGGGCCAAAAGTGGCCCTAAATGATGCACACACACCATCTGTCCTATCTGCATCAGCCCTGCTTTGCAGCCACTTTAGCACACTCAGCTCCTTGCAAGCCCTTGCCAAAATCCTGGTACAGATGGCCGGATCCTGTCCTGGCCCACACCATGGCTCTGTCACTGCAGCAGGGCAGAGGCTGTGGCACACCCAGAACTTCTCACCCTGCCCCAGGGAGGAAAAAGAGCTCCAAGGGGTTGGAAACGTTGCAGATGTGCCCCACACCGAGAAAAGGGGGGGGGGGGGAGGGCCGAGGTCCCCTGCCACACCCTAGTGCCAAAAGTCCCCTGCGCTAAAGTGCATTTCAGGCGTTTCCCTGCACAAAACCTCACCGTTAGTAAAAGAAATGGGATTTCCCTCCGTGGAGGGCAGGTGTGGGTGTCCCAGGGCACGGTGATGGGTGTTTGTGCAGCTCAGAGCGCACAAAGCCACATCGCCACTGCCGGACACACCCATGGGCCCCGGCCCTGCAGCAACGTCTGTGCCTTAAAAGTGCCTCTAAACCCCTCCATCCCCACAGCAGCGCAGCCCCGGCTTTTGTTAGAAAGGAATGGCTTTGCAAATAAAGTTTAAAAAAAGAAGAAAAAAAAAAAAGGAAAAAAAAGAAAAGAAAAAGAAAGGGCTGGTTGCCAGCGTCCCCTCAGCCCCCCTCTGCTTGCATCCCTCACCCCTCACCATCGCTTCCCCCTCCCTCCCCTCTCCCCTCGCACTGCACCGCGGTGCCTTTGCTTTGCACGCCCCTTGCACGGCAGCTCACACTTACCAGCACGGCCGAGGCCTGTTGGGTAGCGGAGCAGCCAGGCGCGCTGCTGGCGTACTGGTGGCCGTGTGCCCGTCCTTGCAGCTGTTCCTTCCCTCCTAACAACGTCACTGCTGCCGGCCCCAATCCCCGCCCGCCGTGGCTACGGGGTCAGAGCTGCGCTCCCACCCTCCCCACCCCAAACCCCGTGATTTTGGATGAGCGCAGTGTGGGGTGACCCGATGCCGGCCGTCCCTGCCAGGGCTTGGGGATGGTAGTAGGAAACCCCAGTGTTGGTTGAGGCTGTGGGGCTGCAGGGGGAGCGCAGGGATAATGTTTCAGCTGCAGAAATTTCATTGCTGCCACTCTCCAGGGTAACACCAGGGTGCCCCACTGCCCGCTCCTTCTGCCGGACATCTCCACCTGCACAGAACTTGCAGCATCCATCCCTGATGCCCTCTGCCAAAGCAAGCTGCAAGATGCTGATTTGGATGCTGCAGGCATACGTGAGGCAGGAGCTGGGTGCTGCAAGGAGAGCAGCTCGGTCCCCCTGCAAACCCAGAGCAAAGACTTTGCAGCAAAGCCATGGGTGGAGTTGCAGGCTGAGCATCTGCACGGTGCTCCTTTTCTGCAGCCCCCCATTGCACCAAGGTGAGCCCCTGCTCCCCGCCAGCACCTTTCCCCAACCAGCACAGGGCTACAGTGATGTCCCTGCTGTGACAGCAGCATGAGGAAAGCTGGGCCATTTTGGGATGCGTGGTGCTGACACCTAACCCCTGGCATCCTGCAGCCTGTAACATTGATCCCAGGTGGGCTGTGACACGGCCCATGGCCAGCATGGGATTGGACTGTCTCGCAGGGAACCACAGACACCCCATTGTCAGGAGCCACTCATGCTGCACCCCCTGCGCTGTTGTTCTCCCCCAGGGCAATGTTCCCTGGGGAAGGCGTTGGTGGCTGGAGACCTCACTCGTGAGGCTGCGTGGGTGACAAATGTGGCTTTGTTCAGCCTGTGCTGCGCTGCAGGACGATGGCCCCGCTCTCCTCCTGGTGCCACGCTGTGCTCAGTGCCCCAGAGGTGCTCAGGGGGTGCACTGGGGATGTGGGGCTCAGAGCATGTCTCTGTGCTCTGTGTGCTCTGTGTACTTCTAGGCTTTGTCCCCTCCCTGCTGATGTCCCCTTCCAATGGAGATGTCAGTGCCTGAGTGCAGCCCCTGGGCTCAGCACCCCCCAAATCTGGATGGGTGCTACTGTTGCAGGAACCATGGAAAGGGAGAGGGAGGGAAGAGCTTCTCCCTTCCACCTGCCCCAGCAGCTTTGAAACAATGGAAACCCCTCACTAATGTCCCTGAGCCCATTAGCATTGTGTGCTCGTGTGTATGGTTTGGAAGGCATTATGGGAGAAATATTTCTGCATAGATTTCCCATTGTACTGCAAGAGCGGTGGTCAGCGGAGGGCAGGGGCGGTGGGCAGAGGGAGGATCAGGGTGTTCCCAAAGGGATTTAAGCCCAAGGGGTGAGCGCAGATGCTGCTGGGGCTGCCTGAGGCTCACTTTGCAGCTGGAGAAATTTTCCTAAAGGATTGCCAGGGTGAGTAGTTGGTCTTACCAGGAAGATGCTTTAGTTTTTGATAACCTTCTGACTAAAACAAAATGATCAGGGAAAAGGGATCTGAGTGGGATGATGGTGTGCGATAGGGAAATGCAGCTGGGGATGGGGTAGGAAGGCAGGCTGGATGTCTGGCTGAGATCCTGGCCCCTTGAAGAGAAGATTACGGGACCAAACTCCGTGCTGCACAGTGCGGCACCACAGGAATGTGAAGGCATGCAGTGCCCCTTGCTGTGCTCCTGGGAGCTCCCAGGGGAAGGCATGCAGACCCCAGCACCAACCAGGGCACCGATGTCCACCAGTGTGGGGTTGCTGCAAGGCTGACATCCTTTTTGGTGACATTAGCAAGCCACAGAATCACTGTGCAGGCTCACGGTCCCCTGCCTGAGATGCGTTATGGTGTGGTTATGGTGCAGTGGGAGCATCCTTGTGGCAGCCAGTGGTCCCCTGTAGTGCCCTCTGAGGCCACCCCCCAATGCAGCATCCTCACACTATCTCTTTGCTGTCCTGCAGATGCCGTGTTGGGGCCGCCTGCTTTCCACCTGGATGCTGCTCTTCCGCAGGAAGACCCCGGGCAGCTCAGTGCCCTCCAGCCTCCGCCGCTGCCTTTCCCCCTCTGACCTGGTTGCACTGGGAGTGGGCAGCACGCTGGGAGCTGGTGTTTATGTGCTGGTGGGGGATGTGGCCAAGACCACCTCCGGCCCCAGTATCATTATTTCTTTCCTGATTGCAGCCATTGTGTCCATTTTATCTGGGTTGTGCTATGCCGAATTCGGGGCGCGCGTGCCCATGGCCGGCTCTGCTTATCTCTACTGCTATGTGACAGTGGGCGAGCTGTGGGCGTTCATTGCTGGGTGGAATCTGCTGCTGTCCTATGTCATCGGTATAGGGCACTTCTGACCCTTCCAGTGCTTGGTGGCCGTGGGTTTGCCTAGCTCCATTGGGGGCATCCCCAGCAGTGCCCAAGTCAACACCATCACCTCTCCCCAGGTACGGCCAGCGTTGCTCGAGCCTGGAGTGCTACCTTTGATGAGCTCCTTGGCAAGAGGATGGGGAGGTTTTTGGATGCCCATGCCCCCATCCACTCAGCAGGGCTGGCGGAGCATCCCGATGTCCTTGCTGCATGCCTGGTAATGCTGCTGGCAGGTAGTGTGCTTACCCCACACCACCCTACTGCGCAGGAGGGTCCCACTGCTGTCCTCCATTTCCACCATCCCCAGTGATGTCCACTGTGGTGTCACCCAAAGGGCACAGACAGCTTTGTGCTCTTCTCCCCAGGGCTGCTTTCCTTTGGAGTGAAGGAGTCCACCACAATCAACAAAGCTTTCACTGCCCTCAATGTGCTCGTCCTGCTCTTCATCACAGCCAGTGGCTTCATCAAGGGTGACCTGAGCAACTGGCAGCTGCGAGAAGAGGATCTGCTCTGGGCAGCCCATGGAGCTGGGTATGAGTGGCTCTGCTACCCAGTGCTGCCTTCATGGGGGTGTGGATGGATGGGTGGCCCCCTAAAGCTCTCTCCTAGGAAATCCCACTTTCCCCTTTATTTCTCCATGCTCTGTGTTGCAGGGGATGTGGGGATATTGACAATATGCCTAAGAGCAAAAGTCCCATCCTGAGACCCCTTTATGCTGTCTGACTCTTCCTTCTCTTCTTCCTCACAGGAACCAGTCCATGGCTGACAACAAAACTGGTGTCTTTGGGGTGGGAGGCTTCATGCCATATGGTTTCACTGGCACCTTGGCTGGAGCTGCAACCTGTTTCTATGCTTTTGTTGGGTTTGACTGCATTGCTACCACAGGTGAGCTAGGAGAGATGGAGTTGTGAATTCCACTATGGGGGTAAATCTTCTGCACCCATGCAGATGCTGCAGATCCACTCCCCAGCCTCATCTTGTCCTCCTCAGGGGAAGAAGTGAGGGACCCACAGAGATCCATCCCCATGGGCATCGTCCTTTCCCTCCTCATCTGCTTCCTGGCATACTTTGGAGTATCTGCTGCCCTCACCTTGATGATGCCCTACCACCTCCTGGACACCACCAGCCCCTTCCCAGTGGCTTTTGACTATGTTGGCTGGGGCAGTGCAAAGCACGCTGTGGCTGTGGGGTCCTTGTGTGCCCTCATCACCAGGTGAGCGGGGGTCCTGGTGTGCCCAGATGACCTGTGGACACCACACCTGTGATGTTGGCCCTTATCTGATGGTAAGGGAGGTGACAGCCATGCCAATGTGGTCTTGAAGAGGTCATAGATGGTACAGAAGACTGGGAGCTCCCCTGGGTGCAGGGTGCTACCTCCCGAGTGCTGCCCTTTTCTCCCCTCTCTGCAGCCTCCTGGGCTCCATGTTCCCCATGCCAAGGATCCTGTATGCCATGGCTCGAGATGGGCTCCTCTTCAGTCCTCTGGCCAAAGTCAGCCACCGTCAGTGCCCGGTGGTGGCCACACTGGTGTCTGGAGCAGTGGCAGGTGGGCAAGTTACTGAGCTAGATGTTATCCACCAACCTTGTTCTCATTCAGAGCTCCTATATAGAGCCCCTATAGCCTGTCTATGAGTTGAGCAACATTTAAGGTTAAATTCATTGTGGGGGGAGCCAAGCAGAACCAGGAACCCTAAAGCGAGGAGCTGGGAAATTCCTACAGAGGGTCTCTTGGAGACTCAGAAGTGGGTGCTGAAGGCTGGTGCTGTGCCCAGGGGCTGAAGCATCACCAGCTTGAGCCCTGCTGCAGTGGTGACACGGGGAGAGCATGGCCCATGCTGTGCTCCTCATCTCTGCAGCTCTCCTGGCTCTCCTCCTTGACCTGAAGGCTCTGGTGGACACCATGTCCCTCGGCACGCTGCTGTCCTACTCACTGGTGGCTGGCTGTGTGCTTCTGCTCAGGTGTGGCTGCAGGGTGGGCTGGGGGGGGGAGATGGGGACACACAGCATCACTGCCTGATGTTGAACATCTGCTCAGGTACCGCCCTGAGCCCTGCACCCAGGATGCTCCCGTGAGGAAGGTCCCGGTGGCACAGTCCTGGTGGCAGGCTGTGCTGAGGCCACCCCCCCATCCCACCCCGCATTCCTACACCGTGGTGTCCTGGGCTCTGCTGGCCATCGGTACACGTGGGGGCTATGGAGAGCTGGTGTGGGCGGACCCGTGGGGACATGGCGGGGTGGGCTGGATCACGCCCTGCCGCACATGCTGAGCTCCCTCCTGCCCTCTCCTGGAGCCTCTCTCTCTTTCTGCTTTCCATGCTAAAAGCTACGCAGACAGTCCCGAGCTGCCAGCTCCCACCCCGGTCCCCTGTCCCTTGTCACCGCACGGAGCTGCTCCTAAGGCACTGACCCGTATCCCCACAGCCGCGCTGCTCGGTGCCGTCGGTGGGCTTAGCGGTGCCGCGCTGCCCTGCCTGCATGCCCATGGGGCCGGCTGCGGGGCTGCCCTGGTTCTGCTGCTGCTGGGAATCTTGGTGGCCGCTCTGCTCGTCTGGAGGCAGCCCCAGAGCCGGGAGAGAGCATCCTTCATGGTGAGCAAAGCAGCCTCAGGGACCTTCCCTAGGGAAAGGGATCTAGGGGATGGAGCACCTGCAGCACCTCCTGCCCCAGTGTAGCACCTATCAGCCAAACCACCCCATGAGCACCCACTTCCACAGCGCAGGCTGGGTGGCAGCACCCCTCAGAGCCCCATATCCCAGTGATGGGGTTGGGCTTCCCCTTGCCATAGCGACAGCACAAAGAGCCCAGGTAGGCTGCAGCTACCCCAAGGGTCCAGGCTGACCCCATGACCTGACGGCTGTAGGTTCCCTGCCTGCCCTTCCTGCCACTGCTCAGCATCACCGCCAACAGTTGCCTGATGGCACAGCTCGGTGCGGCCGCATGGCTGCGGTACCTGCTCTGGATGGCCCTTGGTGAGCCCTGCACCTTGCTTTGCTCTGCTGGTGGGGAGTGGGTGGTGGAGAGATGCCTGCTTTACTAGGACAGGGCAGTGGGAGCATCCCATCCTCTAATCCATGGCCCAAAGTGTTTGGAGGAGAGGGCAGAGAGCCCCCCACTCTATTCTGCTCATTTTCAGGCTTCCTCATTTACTTTGGCTATGGGATCTGGCACAGTGCTGAGAACCACCAGCCCCGGGAGCTGCAGGAAGACAGGGCTGGGAATGCAGCACCCATGTGCCTGGGGAGGGCTGGAGGGGATGGCCTGGTCCCCACCGCCTGGATTCATCCACCCTGTGCACAGGCAGCTGCTGTCCCTGAGCAGCCCCAACCCCCAGGGCAAACCCCTGCTAAAGGATTTTTGTTCAGAGAGGATAAAGCAGTCGAGCTTTTTTGCTGGTTTTGTTATTTTTCTGCCACCCCACCGGTCCTCAAAAACACTGACGCTGGGTTCTCGAGGCTGCTGCTTCTCATAGTCTTGTCATTGTTACAGCCAGTAGCACGTTGGCCTGGTGCACAACTCATACACACACACAAACACACGCACAGACACCCACACCCCGACTACACAGCCCCAAGGAGGGGACAGACTGATGACAGCCTCTGGAGTGGTGACTGTTCCACGGCACTCATGTGTGCCCAGGGGAAAGTGCTGTGTGCATCCAGCCCATACCTGTGTCCATCTGTGTGCAGTGGCCCCATGGCCCTGTTGATGACCCCTGGCTTGGAGCAGGGGGATGTGACCTGCTGGCATCCTGTGGAAGGATGCTCTGCTCCCAGATGTGCATCTCTACCCAGCATGGGGAGAGAAGATGGGGCTGGTGGTGCTGGCTGATTGCAGCAGCGACAGGCAGGGCTCGGCTGTAGTGTGGCAGTGAGCAGGGTCATACTTGGGCGTGGGAAAGGTCCCTGGGAGCTGATGCTGGAGATGGAGGTGGCAGCAGGGAGCTCTGACTTCCCGCCCGCCCCAGGGAATGGGACCAGCACATCCCATGCCCACCCCACCTCCAGGCAGCACTGATGCTGGATATTCTCAGAGCCAAGCGCTAGGTCAGATCCAACCCCCATGCACATCTGTGTGTTCCAGCTGACCCCGCTCACCCCCAGAAAAGGGGTGTGGGGATGGCACAGCGTGTCCCCCCCTGCAGCAGAGGCCGGGGAAAGGCAGGCGCAGGCGTCCTGGGAAGTGCTCCATGGCGTAGGGCCGCCCCAAGGGCCGGCCCTGGAGAGTGGGGGCACTCACAGCCATGCTGCCCCCTGGGCTGTGCGCTACGTGGCAATGAGAGGCACGTCACTGGCAGCGATGGGGAAGGGGCAGCCATCCCCCCCGTTGAGCACACGGTACAGCAGCTCCTCCTTCTCGTGGTGAGCCTGCTCCCGCAGCTTCGACTCCTTCTCCAGCGCCCCACGGATGGCCAGCAGCTCCTCTGACAGCTGCCTGTGGGCAAAGGGCAGTGCTGTGGGATCCACGTCCCCACCACTGTCCCTTGTGCCTCCTCAGGTGCCAACCTCAGCCGTGAAGCTGATGGGTGTGTGCTTACCTTGTCATCACCAGGTGGTTCTGGGTGCGCACCTGCAGGTCCTCATTCTCTTGCTGCAAGGTCTTCACCTTCTCCTCCAGCAGAAGGTTTCTCTCTGCCTGCAAGGGGAACATCAGGGTGAGGAGGGGGCTGGGGAGCACCCACTTGTGTCCCCCAGTGCTGTGCTCAGTGGGAAGCCATCTCAATGACACCTCCCTGCTCCAAGGGAGTAACCAGGCTCCATCCAGCTCCATTCACAGATACTGGTCAGTATTCAGGTGGGGAGGAGATACATTCAGGTGAATATCAAGAGATAGAAAGAGCAAAACCCATTTGCACCCCCCTTGAACCCACCACACTCTCCAGGTTCAGCAGCTTCTTGTCCAGGCCGTGGATATGCTCATTCTTCATCTCAATGACAAAGTGCAGACTCTCCAGCTCCTGCTCCCAGAAGGGGCTGGGGCTCCCATGCTCCTAGGGGTATGAGAGAGGGGGGTCAGAACGGCAGCGGGGTTGGCACTTGGTTCTTCCACCTTTGCTTATTTGCCCATGTGTGACCCTGCTGGCATGGTGCTCGCAGCTGGGGTCCTTCGTGCCACAGTAGGTTTGGACACTCAATGTGCCAAGATTTGCCCTTCACTTGTGCTCAAGAGACCCAAACAGCCCACACGCCTCCCAGGAATGGCATTTCACCCCTTCAGCTGTCCCAGTGCCCTCTGTGCATCCATTGCTGGGGTCCACCAGAGAAACTTTGTGCCAACCTCCCAGGAACAGGACACCTCCCTGACACCAATATGTGCCCTGGGCAGCCTGATCCAGTGGGTGGCAGCCTTTCCTTGACAGGGGGTTGGAACTGGATTGGCTTTAAGGCCTCTTCCAACCAAGTCATTCTGTGATTCCATGGATATTTGCACCCTGGTTGTCCTTCATAGGCCACCAGCTGTGTGTATCCCAGCACCTCGATGTGCTTCTTGTAGTCCCTGCTCAGCAGTGATTCCTCCACCCGCTTCATCCTGTCCTGGAAAGACTGCAGCTGGGACTTCAGTGCGGCGATGGTCTCCTGGGCAGCAGGGGAAGAAGCAGGAGGCAGCTGGGATTTTTTTCCAGCAGGGGCAGCCCAATAACAGCAGGACTGCACGGCATACTGGAGACCCCAAGATGGTCCTCCTAGGGCTGAGGATCTCCCCATGGGTACCTGTAAGGCTTCCTGGGACCTGTGGTGGGACTCTGCCAGCAGCAGCTTCTCCTGCTCATGCACTCTTTGGAGTTCTGTAGGGGAGCTGAGTGTCACTGGCACAAGGACACCAGCGGTGGCATCCCCACGTCCCACAGCCCCACACGAGCTGGAGAGGCTGTGGGGAGCGGGTGGGGGTTGTGCTCTGCCCAGGGATCTCACCTTGCAGGGTCTCCTCATGCTCTCTCCTCAGGGCATCAAACTTTTCCTTCAGCTCCAGGTCCTTTTCCACCTGGAGATGACAAGACCCTGAATGTCCCATAGGCTGTCCCTGCAGCCAAGCAGTGCACCCCGCAGCATCCTGATTCCTGACCCACCTGGGTGCTGACACCTCGCTGTCCTTCATCCTCTGCCCTCCGGGCTCCTCGCAGCCTCTCCTCCTCCTCCTGTCCTTGGAGCAGTTTCACACCCTCCTCACCGTGCTCCTCCCCCGGCGCTGCCTGCTCCTTGCCGGCTCCATTGGCTGCAAAACAAACGGGGCTGAAACCGGGCACATCCCGCTGGTATCAGCCTCTCTGTGCTCTTCCACTGGACAAATCCCTCCTCCCAGCACACTCAGTGCAAATTAGGACTAATGGGACGGCGTTAGCAGGCTGTGAAAGGAGGCAACCCAGTGCCTCCTGCCCTGGGAATGGCCGATCTGTCCAAGATGATGGGATGCCACTGGGATTTCATCGTCCCTTCCCGTGCTGGAGCTGGGGCATCACCCCGAGCTTCCATCAGCCTCGTGGGGACTGTTTTACTGCTTTCATAGCAGTACCCTGAGTGAGTGCATCGATGGAGACAGACATTTCCTTCTCACCGTTCTCTGTCCTCCTGGCGCTGAGCTCCTGGCCAGGCGCTCCCTGCTGTTGCTTGCCTTTTTGCTGCCTCTAGCCAAGAGAAACATGATATGCACAATAGGACGGGACAGCAAAACTTTTGTCTGAGTCCCTTTCACCCTCCTCCATCCCTACTTCCCTGGGGCGCACCGTGACCAAACACAAACCCCATTAGGGAGCCTGGCTGGAGAAAAAAGCAAAGCAAAGCAAACAGGCGCGGTGCTGCTCCGCTCCCTGGCTGCCCCTCTTCTGCAGCTGCAGGGAAGCGTGCTGCCAGAGAGAGCGGGGAACGCTGAGCCTCTGGGAAGCCCCGGCTGCGTCTGCCCTTCTATGGTGTTGGTGGAGGCAGCCGGGATTTGCCGTGTGCGGTGTGAATGCCGCATGCTGAGGTCGGGCTCTTCCCTGCCTGCAGCTCCGCTCCAGCCCCGAGCTGATCCTTCAGGGCATTGAGAATGGGAAACGGGGATTTAAGAGCCTGGCACGTCTGCCAAAAGGTTCCTTGTGCCTGAGACTCAGCTGCGGGAAGGGTGCAAAGTGAAAACAGCACAGCATGTTCTGTGCCTTGCATGGCTGCACAATGGTCATGGAGGCCTTTGGGGACACCTTCCAGAAGGTCTCAGATGTAAGCCTGATGAAGGCAAGACTGTGAGAGGGCATGGCCACGGCACAGCCAAGGGGACGCAGCCCAGGGTGCTCAAAGCACCATGAAGGTGATGCCCAGGGACCGGCTGTGAGCAGACCATGTCCCCAGCATGGCTCTGGGGCACTTTTCCCTCTCTCCTGTGCCCACGTTCAATGGAATGGAGCCCCAGAGTCTCTTTGCTGCCCATCAAGTTGGATTTCAGGCAACTGCATCAGCTCCGAAATCATTGCCTGGGGTGAGCAGTGCATCAGCCTCACCAGATCTGAATCCCTGCCCTAAGGCTGCAGGTGACACCACCTCTGGGAGCAACTGGAAGATTGTCTGCAGCTCAATGAGCTCTTGAGTGCTCCTCTATCTTGGAGAGCTTCACCACAAAACCAAAACCAAGAGGCTGAAAGCTAAACGCGTGTACAGCAACCCCAGAGCTGCTCCAGCTGCAGCAGAGTTTGCACTGGGAGAACCACACAGAATGTCCTGCAGGTGCTGCTGTTCTGGTTCTGGGATGTTTCAGAACGAAGGCATTTGGAGAGGCATTCAGGTTTGGAGAGGCTCGTGCCAAAACCACCCTGTAGCTTAAAACAAAATTAAGGCATGTATGTCTATACTCAAATTCTTACAACAAAATATTTCTCCTGGTGGAGCAGAACTGTTTGGGGTCAGTTCTGAGCAGCTTCCCCCTGAACCTGCAGCACCTCGAGGTTTGCTCCCACGCACCTGCAGGCAACTGTGGGCCTCTGCCTCAGCTCTCAGTGCTTTTATGCACTGTGTTTTCTTCCTCTTTTCGTGCTTCACATGAAGCAACGAAACTACGCAACGTTGTGGTAAGTGAATGAAATCACACAGAGGCAGGAAACGAACATTCAAATCCCAGTTGGGCTGCTGGGTATTGCTTAGTGGCTGTGGAGAGGGGGGACGGGATTTGGCTGATGGCCCTAAAGCACCTCCCTAGGTCTCAGCAGATGCCCAGTGCAGAGTACATGGGACCTGCGTTCTGCTGCTCTCCTGCAGAGGTTGTTTCAGGGTGACTCTCACCCCTGTACAGTCGGATCCGCCACCGACAGCCCCACGTTTTGCATTCTGACCTTCCCCTGCCTCCTGCTGCTACATATAGTTCCTATATCTCCAAAACAAACTCACCCCAGCCCTGGAAAGCATCCAAGCCTCAGCCCTGATCTCTCTGAAAGGCATCCAACCAAGCAGTGAGCACACATGGAGGGGAAGGGGCCCCCAGAGCCAGGCTCCCACCTGCCCCCACTGCCTTATCACAGAATCACTGAATTGTAGGGTTATCAGTCGCCGCTGCTGGGGAGGACGTGGCTGCCCAGCAGTGCCTCCCCTGGCTGCTGCTGCTCCCCAAGGTCACCTCTGCCATGGGGCCGGTCACATCCCCCTGTGGGGACCCCTCTGTCCCGGGGGTTTCTGGGGTTCCCCATCCCAAGAGATGTGCTTTAAAGGCACATCCATCAGCAGTGGGAGGGTGGAGGTCTCACACTGCGCGCTGTGGTGCCCTGGGCAGGAGGACATGGCTGGCGGTGCTGTGTGCCTTCCTTTACCTCTTTTGGCCATAAAGGGGATTTTCTGTGCTGCTTTCAGGATTAAAGCACCTGAGTCATAGCA